AGTGCAGCCAGAGGATCGTGAAGTTCACATTGGTCAGAGTGTCGGCTTCGCTTGTTTATTGGTCAGTATTTTATATTATTAACTGGTTGCGCGAAATAGAAACAAATTTATGATTATTTTCAAGCAAAATAATCCCCACATATGGTCTGAATGATTGTTTTCAAGCAGAAATTCTGATACATACGACTGAGAGTATAGGTACAGCTTTGTCAGGCATATGAAAGCATGCCAGTGGTTGATATCACTAACAGGGGATACCCACATCGATTGTCTTGGCAAAAATTCTGATGGTATTGTTGGTATAACTGATGTACGTTTGCAGGATGCGCGACCATCAGCCCAAATTGAATGGTATTTTAACGGAAAACGAATAAACGAGCGTATCTTTTCTCTTTTTCGTTTCTTCATAGAAAAGCAAATTTTTATTTGAAAAGTTTTTGGGTCAATTGAATTCATTTGAAGTTACGTGAAAAACGTCGGTCAAAAAACTTAGAGATACAATGCTTTGGTGATTTGGGGGAATTAATTTTTCAGAAATGGAACCTTTTTTTATTTTCATAAAAAAGGGAGAATTCTAGAATTTAAATTTTTACTGTTACTCACACTTTTATCTTTTGATTAGAACATTCAATTTGTAGCACGTGCAAGTTTCTCACAGCGCTAATTAATAAAAAGTATTTTCTGGTTTCACTGGTATTAGTCAAATGGAAAAGAAATGAAATTTTTCAAAGCATGAGGGATGTGCGCAAATTGCAGGGCCTGATGATTCGATAACAGTTTTCCCGGTGACGTCAACCCTGGAAATAAGCAATGTTGCGAAAAGGCACGAAGGATCGTATCGTTGTGTGGCAACGAATGATGGAAAGATGCGCACAAGCCGCGATGCACAGCTCAAGATAAGCCCCGAGAATAGCGGTAATTTACAGTGCCGTTCAAGAGACAGCGACTTGTATCCTTTTTTTAGCTCTTCAAATCGCATCATTTGCTTTTATAGATTTTTTGAGGGCTGGACAAGCAAACCATAGCTAACAGAGTGTAAAACATGTTTTGAGAAACAGTCTAATTTTAGTGTTAATTTTTTAAAAATGAATTTTGCAGTAGGAAATGAGTTTTCGGAGCCTTATTTTGTACTGGAACCGCGAGGTGACGTGGTGAACGAGGGCGAAGTGGTTGTACTGGAATGCCTAGTAAATGGATGGCCAAGACCAGATGTCCGTTGGCTGAAAGGTTCAGAGACGGTGCCGGCTGATGGCGACAGGGTGAGTTTTGTTGCTTTCGCAAAGTAACTGTTTTCAGCATGCGCTTCTCCGCGCAGATGAGTTCAGCATCATTCACTTGTAGTAGCGCAGCTTTGAAATTAGAACTAGAATTAAGCATTGAAAGATAGAAATTCATACTTTGATCAGAGATCGCTCCATCGTTACATGGCATCTGTGCAGCGCGTTGGTGGATCCAAGACAGGCTCCTAGGGGAAAGAAATGAGGCGCCGAATGATGGGAAGGAGAGTGGAAGGGGGGA